ACAGTATCGAGCACAAAGCACAAGTGTAATAAAGCACTTAATTCTTTCTAAACACTCTATTTTTTCTTTTCAAAATAGCCTTTTATTTTTCAGATTATGGAAGCAATAATGCCGATTGCAGCAATTTTTCATACAAAATCCACAAAGAAGAAAATAAAAACTATCTGTAATCCCACCACCCAAAGAAAACCACTTTTAACATTTAGATGTAGTCCCTTCCAGTAATTTTCTATGTGTACAGGTACATATGAAATCAGAATCCTACTGTCATATCTAGTTTTCTCAAGGATTATAACAGTATCTTTTGGAGGCAGATAGAGGAGACATTTTTATCACAATTTGAGTGATGAGAAAACTGGAACCCAAAGACACACGTCTAATGGACGGCAGAGCCGGGACTGGAATCTGTGAACCTTGTCACAGTACCAGGCTCCTGCTGCTCCCCTGAGGCCTCCTCATTAGGTGGTGCTCTTCTGGCAAGAAGAGAGTGTGCAACATCCAGCATCAATGGGACATGGGTTTGCAACTGGATGTTCTTCCTCAGGAAAGGGACAGATTTAAGCTGATCCTGTTTCCACATCATGGTTGTGTAGTGCATAAAGAGTCTAATGTTTCAAAGGGAAACAAGGATGGAGCACCTAGGATCTCATCCCTGTGATAGGCTAAGAAGTGGAGCTATGCAGATATCATTAAGATGCAGAGTTTCTTTCCAATAGCCAAATGACATCTGAACAGTGATGGCTTGGCTCAGAGCATGTTGCTATGGGAACCACAGCTATAGGTTCAATCCTGTCATAGACTAGTGAGTTTTCTATGACCACTGACTGTATTCCAGAACAACGTACACAGCAAGTGTTCAATAACTGTGCATTGGGCTGAACTGAATGTTTATAGTTATTCATAAGGGGCAGTCAGCAAAAAAGAATGTTGCCAGCAAATATAAATATCCCTACCACTACACTCAGTATAGAAAAGGCTATCCAATGTGAACTACTACTTTCTATTTTATTCTAAGCAAAGGACTAAGTTGTAATCCCTCAAGCACACACCAGATTGTTAGCTCTATAGATGAGGGAACCAAATCTTATTTATCTTCATGTCCCCAGAATACCTAGCCTAGAGCCAGACACATTTGAAGTGTCAATGTTTTTTGAATTGAATTATATTTGCTAGGCCGGTGTGGGAGTTAAGAAGATGTTGACTAGTAATTCACTATTCCTTTCCTTGAAAGTTCTGTAAATCAAGCTCTTAAAAAAAGCAGCAAGCTAAATTCCAAAACCCTCTCTTAGGAGAAATGCCCACGGCTGGTGGGGTCTGGACTATGTCCACTGAATGTGCAGATCTCTTCTGCACAAACATCCCTTACTCCCAAGAGAGCCCATGACTAGCCAACAGGCTGTGGAGACTCGCATGCTCCCTCCTTCCCAATGGCGAGCGGTCAGGGGAAAGGGGTGCGAGTAGAGTGATGAAGCACTGCTGGGCTAAATGTTCTCCTCTTCCCAGGAGAAGGAGAATCTCACAACGGGAGGAGGGTTGGCACATTTCTAGAGGAACAGCCAGAAAGAACATGGGCTGTACTTGAAAATGATCTTTTCTCAAGACGACTTTTTCTTTTTTAAAGGACTACCTTCAATATTCTCTCTTACCTTAGATTGGAATGGCCTTGACAGAGCTGGACTGGAATCCTACAAACTCAAATCAAAAGCTGACTGGGTAGGTGGAGGGGTAATATGGGATATGGGTTGAGGTGCCATTAGGCTAAGACCCGATAACGACAACAACAGAAAAAAAAATAGTATCTGCCAATAGGATCTTTTCCTGAAATGCACTGAGCTGAATTTGAAGGGACTGTAATAGAGAATAACTGATTTTTCTGGGAGGCAACTAAAACATAACTCACTAATGCCCTAAACTCTTAACACTCTTGAAGATTTAATCACAGTGTAAAACCCACAAGTTTTTATTGGCAGTGTTTGGATATCAACTGTACAACTCTCTGAAGCAGCAACAGTATGATCCTAGGTCTGTGACCATTGCACATCTCAGGGGCCTGCTGGCAAGGTCTGTCAGATTGGTGCCCGGGTCTAGCCTAGTAAATTCTTTCCGGGAGACTTAGGACACACTCTCCCAGCTGCAAAGTTCTCTGCTTATAAGGTACAGAATTTATTAGCCCAAAGAAAGAGAAGAAGAAAGTCTGCTACCTTTTAAAGTGCTTTTACATACAGTTTCTTTACTAGAGCTTGGCATTTCCAGAAATACAGCTGTGCAGAACATTTGAGCCTTTGTACTAAATCAATAGGACTTGTTTTAGCTTCCAATGAACCTCTGTGCTGCTACTACCTATCAACCAAGGTGTCTCACGGTAAGCTTTTAAAGAAAGTCACCTGTATTATCGCTCATTTGGGGAGAACAAAGCCATGAGAACTTGCATCTTTAACCTAACACATGGCCATGTGAAGGTACATAGAGAGTTGATACGCAATCCAGGTTTGTCCAGCTCTGGAAATCAAACCAGTCTAGTCACCCACAGACCATAGGTTTTCTTCTAGCCTAGGTTTTCTTCTCTCCAGTTCCTCAAGATGGCTGTTCCCATCTCCAGACTCAATTCTGAGACAAACAGTGGCCTCAGACCACAGCATAGACACCAAAGAGAGTACTGCAAGAAACAGTGTGGCACGGTGAAAAGAAAATAGCATTTAGAACTGAAAAACTCTGAGTTCCAGCTCTTACTACTTGTCTGACCTTGGATAAGTCACTTAACAACTTGAAAGAACCCTAGTTTCTCTTCAGCAAAATAAGTATAAATAATCATACTCATCTCACCAGGCTCTCCTCAGAGCAATTATGACAAATTTTTTTATCTTATTTATGTGTTTATATACTTTCCGTTTCTCAGTTCACTTCACTAGACTATAAGCTCCAGGAGTTCAAGGACCTTGTCTTTTTGGCTCGTCACACTGGCTGTTTGCCAGGAATAGCGATCAGCATATAGTACATGATCAAGAGGAGTGAAAGAGATTTGAATGTGTGAAGGAAGGAATAAAGGAAAGACAGGAGAAAGGAAGGACAGAGTGTTTGGAGTTTTACTGATGTGTGGTATATGAAAGTAGTCTGTAAATTGTTAAGTATTATATGCATTATTAAATATATAAATAATATTTGGTGCATTAATTATACCAGAGTGATCTTTTAAAAATGTAAGTTAGATCATGTTACTGCCCTGTAGAAAACCCTCCAATGGCTTTTCATACTACTTACAATAAAAGTCAAACTCCTTTTAGCTTTCAAGGCCCTTCATGATCTGACCCGGGCTGGCCTCAGGTCCAGTCTCCCCCTTCCCTGCCAGGCCCCCAGCACTCTGGTGTTCTTATGTTTCCTCAAACATGCCAACTCTGTTCCTGCCTCGGAGTCTTTGTGCTAGCCCCTTCCCCGGCCTGAAAGCTCTTCTGCAAAAATCTGCATGTCTGGCTCCTTCTTGTCACTGGGCTCTTGGCTTAAATGTCACCTTCTCAGAGAGGCCTTCCTTGTATATACTCTAAAGGAGCCCTCACTGACCCCCTCTTATAGTAAATCCACTATCTACTTATTCAGGTATCTACTACTAGTCTCCTCCCCAGTGCCTGATGGTCAATAAATATTTACATTTGTGTGACATTATATTTGTTCAGTGCTTACATTTCATAGATGCTTTTCTAATTATTATTTATTTTATCACCACAAGTTTATGAGCTCAAAAGAAACAACAAACAAAGGAAACCCCCTATGGTTACAAATTGAAAATTCCCTCTCACCCCTCCATACCCCAGCCCCACATACACTGAGAGAGAGGTATCCTGGCCCTGTGAATAAAAGCAACTGTGCCAGTCAGCCTTAATATTTGTGACTTAATTGGAGTCATGTACAATCAGGGATACAATAATTACTTAGTACTCTAACTAGAGGGATTCTTTTGAGACATGGCAATGGTGCTGTTGGGTGCCAAGATGTTCTCTGTTCTAGGCTTGGAGGCCTGGGTAGTGAGAAGAATAGGGGGGTGGAAATGGGCAGGGGGAAGCAAATGGCAGGGACACTCACTGGTTCCAGTTGGGTTTGTTTACTGTGGACCCCAGGGCAGCAGTAATTCTGTAGGAAGATTACTGGACCAGGGCACAGAAGCAGGTTCTAGGGCTGGCTCTTCATGCCCCTCCCCCCCACCCCAGGCTATCATTCCCTCTGTTATATGAGGTGGAACTGGATCATGTCGAAGGGGAATGCCAGCTCTGACATTCTATGGGTTAATGAGAGGACTTTGACCTTTTATCATGACTAAGATGTCTGTGAGAAGGATAACTCACGTAATATTTTTGATAAGCACAGCTATTATGGACTAAGTGGGATTTCTTTGATTGGTCAATAAAGTCACTGGACAAACTGAGATCTCTGCTTTTGCCATTCTTCTTTAACCTTCCCTTTCCTTTGCTTTCCTAGAGAAGGTGATACCCTGGGCAAATCCCCGCATTGTCACATAGGGATCAGCATCTAGTGTAAGTGCACTTCAGCCATTCTCCAAGGGATGGGTTCCTACTGTGTCTGATCTTGGCCAACATTCTCCCATCTGCTCTCAACATGTTGCATCTACCATTAACTAAGTCTCCTATTAGCATTAAAAGAAAACAACCTGGAAAAATTCACTCAAGCAGAGTTCAAACAGGCCACAAGTAGATTTGGAATCTCAACTGCACAAGGTTTGTTAAAATAATAGTGGTAAGTATATAAATATATATAAATGTACATATGTGTATATGCATAAACCCGTATGTACATATGTGTGTGTATATATTGGGGTATATGTGGGAGGTGAAGCCAAGAGTCTGTAAAATGGGTCAAGAATTCTTCTGTTCAATTTATGAAATTAACTGGTAACAGAAGGAGGAGAAAAATTCTACCAGTGTGGAACAAAGCATGATTAAAAGAACTGAAGGACATGGAAAAGGAGTTGGGAACCTTTATATTACACTTACTGGTAATGGGTTAAAATTCTGGTCCACGAGGTGATTGTATCCATGGTCAAAAAATGAGTGCCGAATCACAACATCAATGCCCCGATTGGCCAGCATTCCTAAAGTGTTCAACCATCTGAAAAGCAGGGGAAAAAAGCTACATCAATACATTTTAAAAATAGCATATAACAAGCTCTATAAAAATTGGCCAACATACACACATACACACCACCACCCACACCCATCAAATTTACCTAGTACTTTAGAGGAAACTATTTTAAGCATTAACTACACAGATGGAAGAGATCTATAGAGATTATCAAATCTAACCTCTTCATTTTATAAGAAAATAAAGAGGTCCAGGAGAGTAACATGAATTGCCCTTGGTCATAAAATAGCTTGTTGCTAATGACTTATCTCTTATTCCTATAATACTAACAAATAAAATGAACACCCTAGCCACTTGTAAGCCTAAAGTCATCCCCCTTGACCACAAGACACACAATCACAGAAGCACACACACTATATTTTCCATCACTCAAACTCCCCTTCTTGCACCTATTCACTGTACATGTACTTTACATGTGATGCTAACCCACATACTCCTGTGACCTATAGTCCAGTCATTTGCATCCCTCATATATCACTGTCAGTAGGCAATGCAGTAATAATTTCCCTTGGCACTATAACTAACTATACAGGGATTGGAGTATGCTACTATCACACACATGTTGCAGTGGAGGACCTGCATTGCTCACACACTTATTACATACCCCATCATGCCAAATACCCACTCTCCAGGGCATGCTATCCTTCAAAAATACTGCCCTCATGGTTTTTCCAACACCTACTGCTAACTCTGCCTTCATCATTTACACATTTAACTCATTCATTCATTCATTCATTTGTGAGTTGATTTCATTTTCTTTCTTTGTATTCTGAAATGCAAGGAAACTTCCAATTGTAATAATATGTGTGTGTAAGAAAGGTGACTTAGAGCTTCAGTCTTCTCAGGGTAAAAGATAAGGCATTTCACAAGCTTACCTAAGAATATATTGTCTGGCTTCACCTATCACCTCTTCTCTCACCCTAAACTTTATTCCCCAGGCTCTAAGCCACATAAAACTACTTTTGGCTGCTCTCACATACTTACCTGAGCCTTTTAATATGTTTTAAATTCTCCTTAGAATTTCCTTCCTCTCTTCTACTAACCCACCTCACCTGGCAAATTTCTTCCCATCTGTTAATCTCCAAGTCAAGTGTCATTTCCTTCTAAACTCTGCTGCCCCAGCCAATAGTAGTATCTTTCTCCTCTGTACTTCCCCAGAACTCTTATTCATACCCTCTGCTGGCCCACTGAATGGTAATTACTTACTTCTCTGTCTTCTCTCAGCTGGTATGAGCTCATCAAAAATAGACACATTTTAGCTTTGTACCCAAAACAACCATCACAGTTCATGGCACACTATAGGTGCTCAATACTCTAAGTTGAAATTGATCTGGATAAAATTAGATTCTAGGACTTTGAGAATCACCATTCAGCATACTAGGGACAAATAATGCATAGTTATGATTTCCCAAATCTGAGACCGTATGGAGCTCCAAACCAGTGACCTTACTGACATGAAGACCATTGCTAATTAATGACTATGGCCAGAGCCCTTGTTTCCCCATGGCTTTTCAGAATAGATGGTTAGTTCTGGAGTTGTCTTCATCTTCCTCCTGTAATAATAAATCTCCTGAGTAGGGGAAATAAATGATGTTCCAGGTCTCCCTTTTATGTTCAAGTAGAGAAAAGTGGCAAGATAACTGGTATATCTCACCAAGGATGCTTCTGCAGCCATTATCTTTCATCCACAAAACTTTATTGAATATCTACTACATGGCAGACATTACTAGGTGCTATAAACACAGCAGTATGCCAAGGGTAGGGCATCAAAGAATCTCAAAGGCTGATTGGGAAAACTACCCTTGAATACTTGGCAGCAGAGAATTCTAATTTGTGCATGCATTTGTATATGCCCTGGTAAGCTTATAGTTATGCCATGTATTGGAAAAGGGCTGTAAAATGCCTTCTTTCCAACTCCTTGCTAGCCTTCTGAAACTTCCTAGAATGCTTTACATTTTTTTCCCAGGAAGCAATTTATGCCCCTTGGAGAACTGGACTTAAAGGGCATATATCTAGCTACTGCCAGTAGAGTTGAGAGGAAATGGGTGATAAAGAGGTTAGAGAGAAGACCAGGGGCAGAATGAGCTGGTTGTCATTTGATCTGTCAACAAAGCATTGGACATCTGAACTACAACCAAAATCTAAACAACAATGTTAATCTGTGTTTGCAAAGCGACTCAGAGATCTATGGATATCTGGCTGATGCTCGTGAAAAAGCAGGTCTCTCTCTAGCTCTCTTCATGAAGGTCTGTGCTATTTCTCATTTCACATCACTCTCTAAAGGGAAAAATGTTCACGAAAACAGTACAAGAGGGCTGCTTGCTGGGCCCTGCAGAGGAGTCCTTCTGCGAAGGCTGAGCAAAGGCCATCCTTCTTCTGATTCCAGAGGCCTCCTGCAGTACGGACTGTCAACCTGTCTCTTACACTGAAACCCCGTGAGGAGAGTATTTTTGAAAGAAGACCCTCAGCAACACTGTAGCAAACGCTGATTCACTCCATTTCCTTCACTGAACCATGCTCCCTGAACAACCTCTCTGTGCCTCTCATGTGAGGACACAGGGCTGGAAGACGCCAGCCATCATCATGTAGAACATTGGCTCATTATCTTCATCTGCATCTGCCAGGATGCCATCTTAAACACAATCTACTTGACCAGCCTGATTTGTCCTTCACAACTGTATTGAAGAAGCTGCCTTAATGGAGAAGATCTACAGCTATATAATTAGGAGCAGCTGTTAGTAGTGAAACGCGTAGTTGAGGGCAGAGCTGCAGTTCCTAGGAGAACCTTGCTCAGACAAAAAAACCAGGACCACAGACTAGACTGGACCAGGAACAGGTCACTTGGTTAATCTGTGGTCCATGACACTTGGTTAATCTGTGGTCCATGACAATGGCAGGCCAGCCAAAGGTCCTCATGCTTCTGGCTTAAGTTGTTCTCCAGACGACTGCAGTAGCCTTCAAGTTCATTTTCCTACCTCTTGCCTATCCAAACTCTTGTGCATACTACTATCAAAGCCAACGTTTTAAATACAGGTCAGATGGGTCTCTCTCTTCCTCCAAAATCATCAATGGCTTAGCCACTGAGATAAGAACAAGCCCTCATTTCCCCTGCCTGGTTTTCAAGGTCTTCCATGATTTGGTGGTACAACTCTGTCCCTAATCACAGCCCTCACTACACCCCTGCAGATACTGAGGCTTTCTCACACTAATCATTTCCCCTCATAATGTTCCTTCAGCCTCTATGCTCCCACTACCATCAGCAACAATCTTCACCTATAGAAATTAGAGAAATCTATGTTCCACTCAAATGCCTCTTCCTCCACAAAGCCCTTCCTGATCCTCCCATTCAGAAATTCTTGATTCTTTTGCATGTCTACCCCTTTTGTGGATAGCCCACGTAAGGCAGAAAGAGAGATGGCATACTGTAGTGGCAAAGAGGCTAGACTCTGGAGCAGACTGCCTTGGCTTGAGTCAAAGCTCTGCCACTAACCAATAATCACATTTATCTCACTGGGTTCTTATAAGGGTATAAGGGTATAATAAGGGTATCTAATACACTGGTTGTTAAATTATTAAATACATATAAAGCACACCAGATAGTCCTTAGCACATGGTAAGCACTATGCAGTTAAAATTATTATTATTATGACACTTGTCTCCTACAGCTTTTCTTATTCCGCATCTCCATTCCTCCAATCGTAAGTTTCTAAAGGGCAAAACCCCTGTCTTACTCTTACCTATCTCCCAGGACTCAGGTGAAAATTAGAAGAGAAAATGTATGTTGTCTGTACTGTATTTCGCACTGAAGGCATAAAATAAAGCTCTTATTACTATCATGATTACTACTACTATTATTACTTTTGCTCTAATGCTTGTACCTGAGACCTTAGTAACTAGACAAGTCCCTAATCGCTGTTTGTTGAGTGATTAAACACATTTACAAAGAAATGGATGAAGAATTTTCAGTGGGAAACGAACCCCCCCCACCCCCACCCCCCCACC